ATAACTACAGTAAAAAAAAAACAAATCAAATCCTAGTATATTCCTCGGCATAATATATCAAGGGAACTACAAATTGTATATTAATTAGCTGTCGCCTAAGAATTCCGTCCACGAGTAATTAAAAAAACAAAAGTGAGAAGTCTGTGTCTTTCCAGACATCCTTTACATCTATACCAAATTTCATTGGAATCCATTAAGCCGTTTAGGGTATAAACTCTAACAAAATCCATTTAAACTTTCGAATGTTTATCTCAGTAAATATAAATTTGAAAATAAATATGAACTCACTTGTCGAGATGCGGCGCCGGCTGTGTTGTTCTACAACACACAGAACACAACAAGAACGATAGCGGGCAGCGCGCACGTCGCCGCCGCGCCTGCGCCCTCTACACACACAACCGCGCGTCACCGCCGCACAGAACATACCCTACCCACCCCCACTGTCGAGAAGTGTAGTGTACTATGAGTGATGTACAATCCTACACTGAACCCCACTGCTAAACATTCAAATACCAGGAAATGTACCCCATGTACTAGAAAGTATAGTGTACTATGAGCAATGTAGTACAATAAAAAAAGATTCAAAATTTTACAGAATGCTTAGTTGACACTTCATTTGAGACATTTTGCTCATGATCTACTAACACTATTGATAGGTCCTCAAAAAAAACATGTCAATATAATTTTACTGAAATAAATTGCCAATAAGTGTTACTAAATATAATTCAAATGTTTATGTGTTATACTGTTTAATTTATAAACTAGATAGAGCTTATAATGATGTAAAATGTTTTATAACATGTCAATACAAGAACATGTGGTGGTGTACTAAACTTGACAACTTCGTACCTTTCAAAGCAGTTACCATGAAAAAAATGTTCACATGTCTAGTCTATACATTTCTTTGACTATGAGTGATATAGTTCAATGTCAGTTATGTCATGTACTATGAGTAGTGTAGTGTTATTTGAGTAGTGGTGTACTTTGAGTAGTGTTGTGTACTGTGAGTATATTAGTGTACTTCAAGTAATGTGGTGTGCCAGGAAGTGTTCCCATTGTTACAAATTATCAATATGTATATTATATTCAAGCCCAAAACCCTATTTGGGATAGCAGGATTGTTATTGTTCAATAACATAGATTTTAACTAGCGATTTGGCAAACAATAGGGACTTTAAAGTGAATAATTGTCTAATCCAATCATTTTGTAGATATTATCATTGTACCCCAAATTAATCTGAAAGAATATCATACATTTCAATCCAAATTTAAATATATTTTTTTTTACAGGCATTCTGCTCAGGTGTCGTCTCTGTTTGTCCTCCTTATACTTTGAAAAATCTTATGTTGCAAGCAAATTATTTTATTTGATAGATATAAGATTTTTAGTTAACAGATTTTGCTATTTATAGTTATTACAGTATGCAAAATAAAGCATAAATTCAGAATAGAAACAATAGCTAATTTTACAATATTGTTCAAATAATTCCAACATTAAGTAAACTTAGATAGATTCCTTTACACATTACTGAAATTAAAGCTAAACATCATGGGAGTTTACATGAGAAATACTATATAAGGCCTACTAAAGCTCTCATTCTCCCTGAACTCACATAAAGAATTGAGATCCATTTGTGTCCTTTCCTCTGTTGGCCATAGACAATAAGTATGGCCGGTCATGTTTCAGTTCAAATGTCTCATCTGCAAATAAATAATACACACCCTTGAAAATCCCCTCAGACATTGTCAGCTTTTATTTCTATTAAGTTTTTAAATTATTAAATGCTTGACTATATCGGAACAAACAATAATGCGGGGATATATTGCACTATTTGTCAACAATTGTTTGTATTAAACATCATCATACCTTCAAATGTCCCTCCATATATGGACTCTCCGCCAGTCCCATTAGCATTAGTGAAATCCCCACCTTGTATCATGAAGTCTTTTACTACTCGATGAAACACCATACCCTGGCAAGCAAATTTGCATAACAAATTGAGTAAGAAAGGAATAAGAGGATAACTTAATTTTAGCGTTGGTGGTAGAGAAAACAGTTACAGAATTCAGTGATTTAACACAAGCATAAGTAATAATTCGCGTTTTAGCTACTGAAAAAATATACCTTATATGTTAACGGTTTTCCAGTAACTTTACCAACTCCCATGTCACCAGCGCATAAAGCACGGAAGTTTTCCGCAGTCTTTGGAGCAACATCAGTAAACAATTCAAACACAATTCTTCCAGAGGGCAAGCCACCGATAGAAATGTCCATAAAAACACGCTCTCGCTCAGCTTTTTCCTCGCCGTCGACAGTCATTTTTAATAAATTTACACTTTAAATGTTGGATGTAATTAGTTAAAATCAATTTTGGTATGAAGTAATTAACCCCAAAAACTATTTGACGCACAAATTAAATACCACTTCATGCAGTTTTTGGTGTTCTTGGCAGCATAGCATATCTTTTCGTCCATTAAACCAGTGTTGCCAATGAAAACGTTTTACCCAGCCATGTCCATCGGGAAAAAAGCAGAGTTTGTAAAAAAGACGGGTGGGATGTAGCACCAGTAAAAACTAAAAGTTAAAAACCTAAAAGTAAGTTGAATGTCTGGCATGTGAATGGCAAATTGAACGGTGTTCAAATTGCCCCTCCTTTGTTTGATAAAATCTTACATAATTTACTTGAATCTCATTATTCCCGGTACATACAAAAATAAATTTACTAAAGAAAATCAATTGATTATTGTAAATCTTCGAAAAGCCGTAGAATGCGCAATGCCATTAGGTTGCGGCCGTAAGCCATAGATTTTATAATTGGATGGCCAGGCCCAGAAAGCCGAAGAACACGGCAATTGTCGTAGCATTGGCAACACTGAAAACTCATATAGATAAAAAAACCGAAAATAAACATGACATTTGACATTAGTTTTGCTGTATAATCTGTTCTTCGCATTTTCTTTTTTTCAATTTGTTATCTGTGCCTGGTGCCAGTTGCTGTTGTCTATGGAAAATAAATCCGGATTTCGATTGTTTGTGACGCTTTTAAGATCTTAATTATTCAACTGCTTAGATACGTAGTAAAATAACTGTTAATATAGATAGCACCAATCCTTTTTTTCGTTGATATACTGTAATTAAATATTCAGATAGCTATTCAAAAAGTGAAAATGTTGGGATCGGGCGACGGCGGTAGTTACATTATTAGGTTACGCGGTTTGCCTTTCTCTACAACAGTAGAAGATGTTTTAGATTTCCTAAACGGAATCAACGTGTTGAATCAGAAAGAAGGTAAGAACGATATTTAAAATAATATATTTCTTGTTACCATTAGCTACTTAAATCAGGAGACATCTGTTATCTATTTCAGGGGTGCATTTGACTGAAGTGAGGCCTGGTAGACCTTCGGGAGAATGTTTTGTAGAAGTGGTGAGCCAGGCGGATGTAGACGAAGCTCTTAAGAAGGACAAGGAGAACATGGGGAAACGATATATAGAAGGTAACACTCGCAAAGTAATCTTAAAATAATACAAAAAATTACTCTTTTTTTAACTTTTTAATTATTAATAAAAACTATCCGTCGTTTAAATATCATGTCATGTTTATTCCAGTATTTTCCACTGATCGTCAGGACATGGAGTGGGCGCTGAATGCCATGAATCATTCTGAGAATGGTTTCGGTGGTATTCCCAATTTGAATGATGACATGGGCATTATTAAACTTCGTGGTTTGCCCTTTGGTTGCTCTAAAGAAGAAATAATGCAGTTCTTTGACGGTAAGTCATAGAACTATTCGATTATGTTGTCTGTCTGTCCATTATTAATTTTAAGAATCAATCGGGGATTATTAGGTGCTAGAGACCCTGTGGTTGGAAAGATTTTTTTTGTATCAACTTTGTAGGATATAGCAGTAGTTTTAGTTTATAAATCTGTGTTTTATGTTATATTGTTTTTTTTTATAGACAGTTTATTTAATTTTATTTGCAATCATTATTTTAATCAAGTATTTGCTTATATAATAGTAAATGTGTACCACCACAGGGGGTGTTGATGTGTATAATTGATCTTTATTTGAATGTGGGTGGGGCAGGGCTGTCGGTGGCCCCCGATGGGGTGCACTTGCTCTACGACTACACGGGCAGGGCCTCGGGCGAGGCGTTTGTACACTTCATTGACAAGGGGAGCGCTCAGGAGGCACTCAACAGGGACAGGGAGAAAATAGGACACAGGTGGGGGGCAAGTTATTTCACATTGCCAAGTTTGCAGCCGATATTTGGATATTAGGCAATGTTGGATAAATTATAAGACAGATATTACAATTTATTTAATAACAAATTGATTTTAAAGCATGTAGCTAATGAAACAAATTTACTTTTGGAAAATTTACCTATGTATTTAAATCTGTATAAATATAAAAATCAAAGTAAATGGGGATTTTTAAAGTTAATCTGATGCTTAAATCAATAGATACGCTCAGGAATTATGTACATAGTATTAGTAAATTATAAAGCTTCCTAAATATTGTACATGGGATTTATGTCCAATTGTTTCATCTAGACAGTGATATACTTGGTAATTAATTCAGGGAATAATGAGGTAACTTCATTGCTTAATATCCTTTATTTGGTTGCAGCTAACTTTGGCAAAAGTACTAATTTGGTTTAGAGGGTTATGTTTTGGGATATCAATAGTGGTACCTTATGGCTTATAGCAAAACATTTTGCTAATAAGTGTACGGCGAAATGGGAAAATTTGGAGTATTTTCGTTGATAAAAATGGGAGAATAGTGTACTGTAACCCATAATGTCCACTGACCCAGCCCACATAGATTTTGGGTAAATACATCAAGTTTATTTAATCTTAGGGAGTTTATTACTAAAACATTTGAATGTTGCCAGATTTTATTATGTTTATCTTAAAGAAATATTTCTTTTTTATATCTTCTGCATAGACTTATGTATTGGATATAAAATTAATTGTTAGTTGCTGTTTTAATGAATGTTTCAATTTATTTCAAATTAAAGCTATCACATCGTTAAAAGCCTTCTAAATACTTGTATGCTGTGTAATTTATAGTTTATTTATAGTATTGATATAGTTAATGTTATTTTTGTTTAAATTGTTAATATTGAAGCTGGCAGCATTTATAAGAATGTTTGTATGGATATTGAGTTATCAAGGTGTGGGCGAGCGAGGGGGAGCGCGGGGCGGGGCGGGGCGGGGCC